CATCAGCCCTTGGTGCTCACAGTCCCCCTGTGGTACTTGCTGGACCGGACTGGGACTGACTGGACCTTCCGCTGACTGACTGTGGACTCACCGCTATCCTACCGACGTYGTACTGCTGTTGCACTRYGGTTTAGTCCACCACTTGCCTCWCCACTTGACCACTTGCCCACTTGCCTACCTTCTAGAAGGTCTACAGCTAAGCTTCCGGAACTCACTAAGACTCCTACGCYATAGACCTACAKATCDRACCCCTGCTGCCTATGGACCTAYGACAGGCCTACCAACTGCCTACGAATGCACAGGTCACAGGTTCAATTCTCGGGGTCTACACAGATACTGTACATGGGTAGGGTGAGGTCTAGGGATCGAACCCTGGGTACTGCATCCGCTACTGTTAAAAGGTGAAACGAGCATGAACGACTCCAAATTCAGTACTTCGCAACTTTAGGGATAAAAAAAGGGCAAAGGAAATGGAGCTTTAGCCCCCTATTAAAAGAAGGGCCAAATTGCAGAAATGCCTGTTTTTTAAATATACCTGGAAAGTTGCAGAAATACCCTTTTCACAAAGTTTCGAAGAAGATTAGCCGGCCTGTACCATCTTTCGAGACAGAGACCCGTCCACCTGGGCCTCAGGCAAGCCCTCCAGGGCTTCCCTGGTCCTCTGTTGCAAAAGGAGGTACCAAGAAGATTTATTGCAAAAGGACGTACCGCTGCTGGTGTATTTCCCGCGAAAGAAAGAACCCCCCGGAAAATCTTCTTCCAAACTTTTGAAAAAAGGTTCATCAGATTTCTGCAACTTTGCTGGCATATTTGTCAGAATACGCGGGCACACCGGTATTTTTGCTACGACACTTATCCCAACCCGTATATCTGCAATTTTCCCTATAGAGACTGAATCCGATGACCTTGCTTGCGAGGAACTACCGTCACCCCCGTACACGGGTACGGTGCTGCATGACTCTTAGAGCAGATGGACACCGTCCTACCCACAGACAACCCACCCACATCATCCACCCACATAATCCACATCATCCACCCACATAATCCACATCATCCACCCACATCCACCCACATCCACCCACATCCACCCACATCCACCCACCCACATAATCCCTTGTATTCGACCCGAAGAAGATAGGCAGTGATAAGCCGTGTATAATCACGAGGAGGGGGGGTCCAATAGAGTGGATTATGTGGGTGGGTTGTCTGTATGGGACCCAAAAAAGATAGCCCTTAATAAGCCATGTGTAATGGGGGTGCGATGTGTTAGCAGGCGAGGGAAGACTTTTTTTTTTTTTTTTTTTTTTTATAACGTTGGTGCTGGCGGTGCTGCAAGAACAGACATAGCTCGCACCTGGGAGGAGGCTCCATCTATTGGTGGGGAGCGTCACCTGCTGGAAAACGGGTCCAACAGGCGAGGGAAGACTGCACTTCAAATAGTGATGGATTCAATGAAGAATCTACTGAGGACAAATCTAGCATAATCCAAATTATCAATAATCCTCATAAAAGTAGCCTCGGGAACTGCCAAAGATGTAAAATTTGAATTTTCTGACAAAAAAATGATATCATTGTTGTTGAATTCAGGCTTTGGAACTCAGTGGTGGATATAATTTCCCTTAAATTTAAATTTCAATCGAATATTTGTTATAATTTCGTTTAAATTCGAAATATTTTTTGCCCAGTTCAGGCTTGCGAGCTCACAAATGGATAGAGGCTATAATTTCATTTGAATTCATCACAGCACAGGTTCATGAGATCCTGGGTTTAAGTGGGTTATACTACTATTCCCATCGAAACTAGGGGTAATACCGTAATTGCAGAAATGGTGCGTGTTTTCGGAGTTTCGCAGCAGAAATGTTGTACGGGTCCGAAATATCTTTTTCTTTTTGGCAAGGAAAGTGGGACCGCGCCTGCAAAGATTTTTTTTTTTTTTTTTTGCTGTGAAACTACTGGGGCCTGTAAAGCTGCAATGAAAGATATATTTTTGCAACAAAACTTGGGCCCCGCCAATATTTTTGCTGTGTTTATACCCTTGAAGAACGCTCTAATTTTCAAACTTACCCTTGAATCTAACTGATCCTACACCCAGGTCTGGTTAAGCGATACCTGACCCCTGAAGAGGCCCCGACCGCACAAACCCTCTCTCTCTCTCTCTCTCTCTCTCTCTCTCTCTCTC